GAGAGAGAGAGAGAGGTTGCATTCCAAAAACAGAAATTTGGGATCTCAACTAGATGTACCATCTAGAAGTGTTTTCTGGTTAATAAAATATGTTGTTTTAAGCATCAGTATGGATTATGTTTAACATTGTTACTTGTTACACATAATCGATCACTTTTTTATTTTCTACCATCCCTGAAGCATGAATCTTGATCTTTGAGGAAATGTGGATCCCCAATCAGAGAAATGATCAGACGTTTGACAAGAGATTTGACTACATGGGTTGCTGAGATATCCAGAATCTTGAAGACTCACATGGCTCCGATTGTTGCACCTAAGAGTACATTTGTTCAACTTTAGAGAATTTGGTAATTGTTCATCTGAACCAGCATTCGAAGGCTACTAGGCATTACACTTAGATTTGGATTTTGGTGGAAAGCATAGGATGTTAAAAGTTAAAAGCAAGCCTTAAAGGCTAAGAAGATGGCTTATACTACAAAGGTTACAGAGCTTGATCGATCTCTATGTTGGTATTAACTGAAACTGTAGCAATATAATTCTTTTTACTGCGATTGGACTTATCTTAATTTACCGTTGGTGCTTCGTGTAATAGCAACAGTGCTTCGTGTAATAGCAACAGTGTTGGTGACTTTTCTGAAGTCTCGGTTGACATGACACTATAATTTACATGGGGAGACCTCTGTTTGATAAAATAAAGGAATTTTTGTTGATCAAGTTATCCATTTGTTTATTTACTGTGCATCAATGTGCTGGTTGTGCCCTATGACCTGCTATGTCCTATTCACTTGTCAGTATCTCATGATAAATGGTTCGTGGGTTCCTCTCTTTAATCGTTGTCCAAGATTTATGGTGTTGTGGACAGTCCATAGCATGCTATCCGTTTTTATCTTGGAACTGATATGAGGCTATGAATATCTTAGAGGTTCATGCATCGTGATAATTAATTTAGAAATTTAGATTTTTGAGTTGCGTGTTGCTCTTTCTTGTTATTCAGAATCCTGGGAGCCCCTTGGCATCTTCTGATGGATCAAATGTGGTATACATGCAATCCACTGAACCAGCTTCGAGTGGCCCCATGCGCATGCCTTCACCCTTTGTGCACCAACTTCTTCCTGCATTACAAAATGGACTTTTCCCGGAAAGACCAGATCAACCTGAATGTCAATATTACATGAAAACAGGAGACTGCAAATTTGGAGCATCTTGCAAGTATCATCATCCCTTAGAAAGAGCTATGCCATTGACTAATTGTGCTCTTGGTCCCCTTGGCCTTCCTCTGAGACCAGTAAGTTTGTCCTAACTGATTGATTGCTCAATTATTATCATGGCATCAGTTTACTTACTCTCTCTCTCTCTCACGATTCGTGATACCAATGCAGGGCCAGCCGCTATGCACATTCTATAGCAAATATGGGATCTGCAAGTTTGGACCCACTTGCAAGTTTGATCACACTGTTGTGGCACCTCTCAATTATGGATTTCCAAATGTATCCACCCCTGAAATGCCTCCGGTATATCAACTATCAAGAACCACTCACACTGAGCGCCCTTCATCAGAAAATTCTTCCCCAAATGCCTCCAATCATGAACAAAAACGACAACGACAAATATTGAGACCGGAGCCCTCTGAAGTTGATCAACTAAAGGCTTCTTCAGATGATGTCATTCCTCAATAAGACCAGTTGTAGTACACACCTGATTATTTGGCATCCCTTCCAATCAGATTAATGGTTTTGTTGTTCTTCCCTTTATGTTGTTCTTTTCTGGACGCCCCTTATTTGATGACAATTTTGCTGATGTGCTCGCTATGTCCCTGAGAGTGAGGGGGCTGAGCTAATGCAGGAGAGTGGTTGACTGTAGTTTTGGAAACCTCAGAAGCTAAGTCTGAGGTGGGAGAAGCATGGAGGGGTTTCTATGAGGAATAAAGGTGGATCTCGATCCTTTTCTTTCATTTATTTATTCCGGAATAATTTGTAATATTTAGATGTCAATTGCCAGTGAATGAGAGAAGTTTTGGGCCTGAGTTGTTTTGTAAATGGTAAAAGAAAAGAAAACCTCTTGCCTTTTGCTTTTCTCCAGCAAAATTCAGTAGCTACTCAACGACGTCAGTACACAACTAGGGAATGGTTTGCTGCATATAATTGCTACAAGGGAATGTAGTCTTAATAAAAATAAATCGATTTGGATGTGTGTATAACTTTCAGGTCTTCCTTATATTTCGCTTTTCTTCTTGGCAATTCTATTGGCTCGCTTTCTTATCAGATGAAAACAATGATAAACCAGACGGTCTACTAACAATGTAATAATTAGCATCAATTGCCAGGTTTGTGAGGTCTAATAAATTGGATGGTGTAGATCAGACACAAAAAAAGAACATGTATACAATGATAATTAGCATGGATGAGCTATAATTGCGAAATATCATTCAACTACAAATATTTCATCAATGATAATTTTAATGAATAGTTGAAATTGGTTAATTTTTTATTTCCGGATGTTTAGAATTTCAAATTCAATAAAAAACAAAGTTCCCATGCGAGAATTTGTTATCAAAAGCAGTATTTTCTGATTCCAAATGTGAATTCGTATTGGTTATAAGCCCCTAAACCTCCTAGTTTTGGGAGAAGTTCTAGCTTCCAGTTGTCAGGCCTTGAAAGCACTAACAACAAAATTTATTTATTTTTCTTTTTGAATGCTAGTTTGGGCCCTGACTAAAATTGAGGCCAAAACCATGTTTTATGGCACCTGCCACTGTGATCACCTCTACTTAGAACCCATTCTCAGGGCAACATAGCATGCGTTGTTGCCAGTGTTTAAACCTCAATAGTTGGGTCAGACCAATCATCCACCAGTCCAAGTTGACCATGGAGGCTCGGCCTACAGGGCTAATTCTTTATTACCAAAAATAGAAAACCGAGAAAAAGGAAAAAAAAATGTAAAATAAAAAATTGAAAATCAATTATTTGATTTCATATAATACGGGGTATAAATCAAAGGAAAAAAGTTTATATAAGGTTGATACCTTAAAATATATAACTAAGGGGTATCTCTAAAATCTTTCAAAAAATGATGTTTTGATGTTCTAATTGATGATCTCAATATCGAGATGTATAGATATGGGGAAAAAAAAGAAGAAAAGATTTCAAGTCTTAAAAATAGTACATTTTGCAATGCATTACATGGACCATCAATTTTCAAGATTTTCATGGGCTTATCGATCTGCTTGATTTGAACTATTTGAGGAATATAAAATTTTAAAATTAGAGATAACAATAGATTTTCGCACCATCTTAATATATTTTGACACCAAAATTGCATCTCAGTACAAAGTTTGGACATGCACATTAATTTAATTTGATTGTTTAAGGTTGCAACTTTATGCAAATCATACCCTAAATCAAATCATAAAAAAAAAGTTCAATATCGAAAGAAACACTTGGGGAAGAAATTGGCAAAAATACCAAAAACCAATTATTCAGATTTTTTTTTTGTTTGGTTCAAAAAGCTTTGTTGGGAATTTTGTAGATCAATTTCTTAGACAAATGTAAATGAATTTGATGAAAAATGAAAGAAAAGTTTAAACAAAAAAAAAAACTTGATTTCTTCCACGTTGCTTTTCTTTCCAACTTATTACTATAGAGGTTTGTTAAGAGGCTTAAATAATACCAATTTGAAACAAATTTCAAATTGTGTGATTGAGATTTGAGGGAGAAATTAAGAATTGAGGATTAGGGTTTTGGGGCTGTAAAAACAAAATTTGGACTCTTGATTTCTTTTAATTCTGCATTTTGACACAACAAATTGTTATTGGGGTTCAAATTCAATAGAGAACTTAAAGAGCAAGAAATTAAAATAAATTTCGAAGCATTTAGTAGAGAAAATTGGGAAAATTGAGAGTCAAAAGTAAAAAAGTGACTAGTTTTTTATCTCCCAATCTCATCAAAAAGATGTTTTATCCGAAAATATTTTTAGGGGTATTGTAAATCACCTAAAAATGAATGATTTGCAACAAATTTGAGAGGATCTAGTGAAGAAATGAGAGACATCTGAAATTTCTAAATTTTGGTTTATAAAACAAAAAAATATAAAAAAGTAAAAAGCCTCTAGCATACTATTTGGAACTGATATATCATTAGTGTTTAGAAACCCAACTCGGGTGTGGCTTCTGGGTATGAGTCGGCGACCCAGCGAGCTGGCCCCAATGACTTGGCCAATACATGGAGAGAGAGGGAAGGAGCATTGCCCAAAAAATTAGAAAAATGCATAAAATCAAGTCTTATAATTAAGAAATAAGTCTTATAATTAAGAAATAATTTGATAGTATAGGAGGAATAAATCAAAAAATAAAAAATACAAATAAAAAAAAAAAGAAAAAAGTTTATATAAGATTGCAACCTTAAAATGTAAAATTAAAGATGCACCTCAAAAATCCATTGAAAATAGTCGTTTTAATGCTGAAAACCCTCTAATTGATCTCGAATCAAGATGTATGAATATGACAAATAAATAAAAATTTGACTATTAAAAATAGTGTATCTTGCAAAACATTATCTAGATCGTTCATTTTCAAGATTTTCATATGTTTATAGATCTACTTGATTTTAATTGTTTTGGGAGTTTAAACTTTTATAATTAGAGATAAAAATAGATTTTTAGATAATCCTAAGAATTTTTTACACCAAAATTATATGTTATGATAAAAGTTGGAGGTGCGTCTTAATTGGATTGTTTAAGGTTGCAACCTTATACAAACCACACCTATAAAAAATTACATTTCAGAGAGTAAATAGTGGGGAAAATGCTGAAAAATAATAAAAAATCATCTCCGATATTTTGGTTTTAACTTAACAAACTTTGTTGGGCCTTTTGTAGAACAATGTAATAGAATCATTTTTGGATAAATTTTAATGATTTGATGAAACAATGAAAAAGGGATTGAAGAGTTTTTTATTTTGGGTTCGTAAAATCTGTGGAATCATAATTTATCTTATTTTAGTTTTCGATCCAACAAATTGACGTAGGAATCAGATTGAGGGTTTACATGTGATTAATTTGAAAAAATTTCAAGTTATTTATAAAGAATGATGCTTTGATGAGAAAACCTCATCAAAATTTCAAATTAATCCAAATAATAACGATCAGATGAAGTATAAGTAACATGGGGTCATTTATTGATCCAAACAACAATGAGAAGACTTGAAACTCTATTATTTGTAGTTTTTTCCAACTAAGACTGAAACCGGGATAATCGACCAAGTCCGATTGAGAACCGTCCTCGTACCCCACCGGCATGTGTTCACCGAGCTGATCCCATTAACTCAACAGCTTTTTAATCCCGTTACTCGATCTACCTGACCTGAATTTTGGGCCGGAAATGCTCAAATTATAGACCAAACCATGGGCTCAACTTACTGTTCAAAAGTGGCAGCGATAAGGAGCAGCAGCCGTTTGTTTTGCTCGTCTTTGATAAAAATGAAAAATGCAGATACGCCATGCGGGTTGCTTACTCTCTCCATTTGTTCAGTTTTATATATAAACTCCTGATTGCTTAATTAAAAGCATGAGGAACATAGCCATGTCCCCCTATTGTGACATATTGCTGACTCAGCTGACGCACTTGTGTGCTGTGCAGTTGATGATTGAGGTCTGAAAGTGATACAATGTGGAAAAATTAAAAGGATGAGATAAGTGATTTGGTACGATATATGGCTTACGCTTAAGACCCTTCGGGAGTTGCACGTTTGGCGCGTGATTTCTATCTAAGTTCTTGTTCTTTTGTTAAAATATGAAAGATTAAATTTTTAAACGGATAGAAACGTAATATTTTATAATGTTTGTATTGATCACTATTCATTATGCATAATATAAATACATAACATTAGTATTATTTCATAATATTATATTATATAGTACATATCAATTATATATTATATGTAATATATATTTATTATATTATATATAATATCTATATTATTATTTATTATATTTATATTATTATATTATATATTAATATATAAATATCTTATATTATACTATAAATTATATATAGAGTAATGATCCTATGAGACCCTCCCACACCCATCGGTGTAGGACCCTAAAGGATCACTATTAAATTTGGCACAT